TTATTAAGGCATAATATTAAAACACTGGTGACTAGCCTTTGCTTTTTTGCACTTAATAAAATATATACATATACCTTAAAAGTTACATTTGATTCTAAGAAAATTTACAACTGAAAACATGTAGATATTCCTTTATCATAAAAAGGGTTGGTTTTGGCCTTTGCAAGTAGAATACCCCCTGTTTTACTTCTTTCTCTTGGAATAAAGCTGGACAGTCAGAACCTCTGCTCACTGGGGTTAGGTCTTCAGGATGGTACATACTAACTAAGAACCATGAACGCTAACATTAAGAGTTGCATGTGTAATTCCCCAGGAATATGGTTTTAAAAAGCTACCTCCCTCCCTCCTAGAGAGGTTACTGACTGCTTTGCAGAAGGGGAGCAATGTGATTTCTTTTTCTTTTTTTTTTCATTTGTGAGGTTGCAGAGCCAGCATTCCTCTCTCTAAGGAGAGGACAGCAAATGTCAGCTCCCACCTTCATTTATACCTTGATCAATGAAGCTGTTGGCACAGAAAACGTGTATGCACTGTAAGAAAAGAAATATAAAACCTTTCCTATTGATGGAAATGGCTGAGGGCAAGTTGTTCTCATTTTCAGCCTAGGCTGTAGGCACAGCTTTGCATGGGGTACTCTGAGGGCGGTACCACAACACCCCCACCCCATGATAGCTCTGCCATCTTGCCACTCTGGCAAGTAGCGCACAACACACAAGGAGGTGCCGACGTCGGGTGGAGGTCTAGCCTCTAGCGCTCTCCTCTTGCCTTCTTCCCTTCATCTGAGTAATAAATGATAGAGTCCTGGTACTGACTGCGTTTTTCAAGTTGCAAAATTCCTTTTCATTACACTGCTTTCCTATAACCTGCTTCACATTGAGGTCTCCTAGGGGAAAGGATACCAGGCAGTATAGACGAAAATAAATGAATCTGGGCCAATGAAAAGCTGTCCTTTCATTTAGCCATGATTTTCTGAAATGATTATGTTTCAGATGAAATTTTGTTTGCCTAGTTGAAAATTCAGGATTAATCATTCGGGAAAGTTGACAATTCTGTTTCTCCATTTTGTATCTCCTACGGGTGTTTTCCAGCATATAGAACAATTACCAGATTATTATTTTCTGAGGTAAGAATGTACAAGGGGCTTGTTTATTCTGCATTCAGGCAAATTAAAATTGACATTCCTAAAGGTTTATTATTTCCATCTCTGCAACCGAATGTGTTTGGTATATCTGAATAAACCCAGTCCAGACATTTGTGACTAGCTGAAGCATTATCTAGAAGCAATATCTAGTTGAATTAACTGAAGCTACCATAAAACTTTTCTTTTACAATGGGATTGCAAATACAGGTGATTGATAGGAAACTATATGATCTATTCGTTTTAATAAGGAAAGCTCCTAATCATAATTAGAGAGGGAAACCACTTAACAGACAAATATGTATATATTTATACACATACAGACGCACAGACAGAGATACACACACACACATTTCTTAAGGAACTGTGTTAGACATGATGACAGTGTACCATAGCATGAATGTGCTTGTGTCTTTTGTTTTTCATTGCTTCTGCAGAAATTTCATGATTTTTAAGATTTAATCCACAAGTTTTCAATAAGTGCTAGAAACTCATGCATTCCAAAAAACAATTTGGTCCTCTGTAGTCTTAACAGTCTCTGGAAACACTCAAATAGAATCAGCAGCCTGCTGGTACAGCAAATTTCACCAGAGGTGAGAATAACCAACCACCTGGGCATCCTGGGACCCCTCCAATCCATCCTAGTGGCAATGGCCCAGAGATACCACTTGGACTCTGCCTTCCCAATGGTCCCTAGAGGCATTGGCTTGGACCCAGGTAACATACATATATGGCTAGACTGCCTCTGCATGATATTTTGGGGACTCCCTGGATCCTAAGCAGTGGCTGAACAGAGACACAGCACTGGTCCTCGTCCAAGTATGAGGCCACCTGGGTAAGAGCTGCGTGCAGCCACGAGACAGAAAGCAAGATCGGCAAACCGGCTGTCAAGAAGGAAAGGCCATGCTACCGTTCTTTATAGTGTATTGCCAGAAGGCCTTCTGCAGCTGCAGCTAACCTGCCACAGCTCCAAGTTAATTCCATCAGCAGGCCGTATAGGACATAATCCAGCCCATGATCTTCATAACGTGTTGGCATGCAGAGAACAAGGATGTGACAGCTTGTTTGCTTTCATTTTGGCTCTTTCCATATCACGTTCTGTGCAGTAATGCCACCACTACCACAGTAATGTGTAGGCATGCATTTATGCCTATCTTGTATGTGTGTATCTTTGCCCACGTTGTGCCTTATAAACTACAGAATTCTGCAAAGAAGTAAAGTGGGAGCTAGGAAAAAGCATGCTAAGTCTGCTGAA